AGACCAGCTGACTTCCAGCCCCTCATTTCCACAAGTAATTGGAGCAAATCCAGAAACAGATTAGGAGAGCCCTGAGTACTTCCTTATTTACCATCCAGAAATTACATATTGCAGGTTGTCTTCCCATTGGAAGCTGAGGCTGAGACCCAGCAATTAGTCCCCCATTGTCTCTGCAGGAAATAACATCCATGTGACTTCTTCAGGAGGCAACTGTTGACTACTCTGGTTAAGATAATTTGAAAAGTGTTCAGCATTTCCTCTGGTTGATTGAGTCCAGCTGACTTGGAAAGCTTTTGGAAATGTACAAATGAACTATGGTCCTCAAAACCAGAACACTACTGGGTCAGTTCCTTGAACAGAATGAATCTGAAGTGTTGGCTCTGGTCTCTTCAGGTGCTGTTTCCTCTGGACTCAGTGTGACGGAGCTCAGTGCCTTTCCATCCTGCTCCTTTTCCAATGTTTACTTGAGACTGATTCCTCAAAAATTTTCTAGAGCAGGTAATTGGAAACTCAACTTGGAGAGGCCTAAAAAATAAGAACTGTGTTGGGAACTCAGAAGTGCCACAGATGTCCAGGTTGACCTATGTGATCACATATACTCTGCTTCCCTCTGTTTTTCCTGTCTTTGGGACCAGCTATATCCTTAGGTTACAGCAAGAGAGCCATGGCAATTCCAGATATCATACTCCACACGAGGAAGGAGTTTCTTCCCAAAGACTAAGATGCTGCTAGCAAAACATTCTTCATGATTCATTGGACTAAATTGGGCCATATATCTATTTTTTACACAATCACTGGCAAGAGTATGGGTGTCTCTTGAATCGGAGCTTCTCCAACTTTAGTATAGATGCTGATCACCTGGAAATCTTGTAAAATAGACTGTAATTCCAGTGGTGTGAGTGGGGCCTCAGAAATGGCATTTCTAAGAAGTGTCTAAATGATACTCAGCTTGGTGGGTGATGTGCTGCAAAGCCCTACCCATTCAGATGTCTGCTCCCACTAAGAGTGCTGTCCCCTGCCCATGAGGCACTGTGGCTGGGGAAGTGTTGGGGCTCTGTTAGGAAGAAGAAAGCAGGAACAATCCTGTGTTGATGAGAACTGTATTGGGAATACTTGTTCCCAGTGTCTAAAGAGAATGTTGCCTTTAAACCAGGAGTCATACATGGCCTAGGATATCTATTAAGAGCAAAAAGTACACATGGGGCTACACACCCATTGTGTGGGAATACCAATAAAAATGCTATTACTCACCTATGACGGTACACACATTGCAGTTCTAGAAACAAACCAGTCACACTACCTTCTTTGTTATCCTTCCATTGCCTTTATTAGTAACTTAACATCATATATTCATTGTGTCTCAAAAAGAACAAACTCAAATGAAATGGATACAAATGTACTTAAATATAAAAAGGGGGTGTCAAGTTCACCCTTTGTTCTTTAGAGTGGATAGTGCGTCGGCCTTGGAAGTTACCGGGGAGGAAGAGCACACTCCCACTGCTTTTTTAAAAAAATATTTTATTATTTTTATTTTATGTGAATGAGTGTATTTAGCCTGCATGTAAGTGAGTGCACCTATGTCATGCAATGCCTCGGAGGTCAGAAGAGGGCTTCGGATTCCCCTGGAATTGGAGTTAAGGACGGTCCTGCATGTAAGTGCACCTGTGTCATGCCGTGTCCATGGTAATCAGAAGAGGGTATCAGATTCCCTTGGAACTGGAGTTAAGGATGGTTTGTAGCCGCCATGTGGGTGCTGGGAATCGAACCCGGGTCCTCTGCAAGAGCAGCCAGTGCTCTTAACCGCTGAGCCGTCTCTCCAGCCCCCGCACACTCCCACTGCTTCTAAGAGTCACTTGCCATGATGTTGGGTCTGAAAAATGCTGCCAGTGGTAAATTTCTGCCAAAGCAGTTGGTCACAGTGTCCTGATTACTGATTTTTCAGTGGAGAAAATCATTATGCTTTCTTCATTTGAAAAGGGAGAACTATTCTGTTTTGTTGTTTTTGTTTTTGTTTTGACAAAAGATACTCAGGCATCCCTTGCTGAAGCCACTTAGGAAAAAGGATACTATGGATAGCCCCATACCCATCATGAGTCTGATTCATCACAGATGCATTGGAGCTTGGAAGGAAACATGTGGCCAGATGTTAAATAGACCTTCCTGAGTTAGTCATTTAAGTGGTTGGCATCTCTGGTTTCATATGCAAAGACAGCATCATTCCAGAGGATATGGGAAAGGTATATGGAATTTCTCATCTGTTTTATCAGCCTGCCCTAGCACCACACGTTCACATCTGTGTGATTGACAGGAAGCTAGAACTTTATCTGTTTTCTGGCCTTGCCAACATGAGTTCACACATAGTGGTTACTAACTGTTACTTGCTGATTTAAGACCCTGGAAGGCTGAGAGATGCTTTGCTTCTCTGGATTTAGCTGAGGAAAGCTGCTGGACTTGATGCTCCAGGAAGGCAGGAACTGCATTTAACACTTGGGCAACCAGGGTGCTATGTGTTACTGTAACGCTTCAACAACTGCTCTGTTCCCACATCCCTGTCAGTTAGCACACAGACTAAGCATTCACTGCCTAAAGAGAAGAGGAGAGAACATTTTGTTGCCTAACTTCAGTCATTCACAGTCTTCTAAGTATAGAATGCTTAGGTGTCCATCTACATTTTTAGGACCTCATAGGCTGCCAAAGAGAGATGAGATAATACTAATATTAGCCAAACTCGTGTAGAGCAAGCAAGATTATGTTCTTAATCACTGATTGATTCAGACAGTATTGATGAGTGCCTCCCTTCTATGCTTGTGATAGGGTAGGGCACTTTTTGTTGTTTTGGGTTTTGTTTGTTTGTGTTTGTGGTTTTGTTTGGTTTTTTTTTTAATTTTGTGGGTTTGTTTGGGTTTTTTAATTTTGTGGGGGTTTTGTTTTGTTTTGAGACAGGGTCTCCCTGTAACCCCAGCTGGCCTGGAACTCACTATGTAGGCCAAGGTGTCCTTGATTTCAACAGAGATCCACCTGTCTCTGCCTCCCAAGTGCTGGGACTAAAGGCATGTACCACCATGCCTGGCTTAGGGTAAGGCATTATTAAACAAGGAGGAATGAAAAGTTGGAAAATATGGGGCTTCTCACTTACTAGTTAAAGCACTCAAACCTTAAAAATACAAAGTATCTGTATCAAAATACAATTTTTAAAAATAGAAAAGCAGAAAGTTAAGATAATACCAAATTAAGAGACTCAAGGTAGTAAAAGGTACCAAGGGTCAAGAGAGCCCTTAAAGCTACTACTGTTGGCCCAACCAGGATGATGTCCATGGATGGAATTCAAGGGGTCAGGAAGAAAAATCATCTCATCATTTTCCTTAACCCTTAACTGAAAGCAATATTTCTTTTTATTATGGAGTATTCTTAGGTCTTTATAGAATTGTGAATATTTTCATGTTACATCACAATTAGAGACATCCTGAAATATCATAGCTCAGTGGCTAAAAGCATGTTTTTCCAGGGGATCCAGTGGCCTCTGTGAACACCACACACACAAGGTACACACACACACAAATAATATTTAATGTTAAAAAAGTTACATTTATTGGACTGGAGAGATGGCTCAGTGGTTAAGAGCACTGACTGCTCTTACAGAGGACCTGGATTCAGTTCCCAGCACCCACATGGCAGCTAACAATCATCCTTAACTCTAGTTCCAGGGGATCCAGCTCCCTCTTCTGACCTCCGAAGGCATTGCACAACCCACGTGCACTTACATATATGCAGGCAATACACTCATACACAAAAAATAAAAACAACATACAAGCTACATTTATTTTTAGACTTGCCAAAAATTAAGTATTGATAACTGTATTTGGATAAATTTTGCTTCTTTTGAATTCTGTTTTTTCATATGTTAATTTCAAGGATTTAAAAACATTATTCTTATAAAACAAACAAAAGAAGTATCTGTAGACTGTCAAAGTCCAGAGCGGTAAAGAGCTCCTGCCTCGGGAAATACCTAGGCCTCCGTCTAGCAGGGATGGGACAGAGGCACCCAGGAAAAGCACTGACCCCTAGAGGCCCAGCAGCAGGTCAGGTGACTAGATGCTTCCCCATCTGGTAGGAACATGTGGAAATGAAGCTGGAACAAGCATGAGTCCCAGGCTGATAATAATTTCACAGGTAAATGTGCAGATGATAGAAAGTGACCAGAGGTATGGCTTCTGAAGATGGACAGGTGTAAGCCATGCTTGAGAAGATGCTTTGCAGAGCTAGAAGAGTTGGAGAAGGGAGAAACTAGAGGCCGGGCATAGGGTTTCCGCAAGCAAGGTGTGATGCAGACCAGAGGCAGTACCAGGAGGGAAGGGAGAGAAGCCGTGTCTCAGACTGGCTGTGGAACCCAGCAGCAGAGATAGGAAGGCCATAGTAGGGTCCAAGTCTGGACAGCAAGGAGAGCGGTAACAAGCTCACATTTACTCAGCACTGATCATGTGCCAGGCGCTGCTGTAAACCTTTCTGTGTCATGCGTTTGTCACTGAGTTGATACCATTTTATCCTCAAGACAGCACCATGAGGTTGGTACCCTAATTCCTAGTTTGTAAATAGTAAAATAAGAAAAAGAAGAGATAGGAAAATAGCCTAGGATCTCACAGAGCTTGGGCGAAGGAAGAATGTTACTGATAAAAAAGAAAGAGGAATGGGCTTGGGAGGAAAACATAGAGTTTAATCTTAGATTATTTTTCCATTTCTCTCTTACCTTGTGATTAAAGGAATAAAAAACTCTAATATTTGTAAGCATGGTTTCTTATTTATTCCACTTTTGCAGGTTTTTCTTCTTTATTCATGGGTGCTAAGATAATTTGTAAATCAGTTTCATCTTCCTATGCAAAGCAAAGGGGAAACCAGTAGGGAAAATTTGCTGCATGGGTGGGTGCTCGAAACAAAGTGAAGAAAAGGTGCACAATGCATATTAATCATGTTGATGAATATGCTGTTTATTTTCTTTTTTTCAGGATCAGTCCTGCTGCTGTGTTAGAAGACATGTGGTGTATATAAAGTTTGTGATAGTTGGTGGAAATTTTGGTAAGTGTTGCCGAGTTTGTTTCTAACATGTTTTGTTGCTTTTGAGGGGAAGCCACTGCCTGTTCTGTGCATCTTTCCAATCTGCACTCAACTTAGAATGGAAGTTTTTGATTAAATGTGGCTGTGAATTGGTGTTTTCTAACAGTATGCCATTTCTTTTCTCATTATTACTGATGTGATTAAGTAACATGGAATTTTTCTAAAATACAGTAAGATTTGGGGAAGCTTCTGGATGCAAGGCACAGAATAACCTTGGCAGTTTAGCTTCTGTTCCAAGCCAGCCATGTAAAGGAATATAAACTCACAGACCAAAAGAATAAATAAGGTCTCCAAAGGAGGAAGCTTCTGATGGCCTGGATGCTGAAATGAGAGAAGCAAGTAGTTAGCTGTTTGGGGAATGGGACACGAAAGGAAGTGAGCTGTATAGCTTCCCAGAAGCTGGCCCCCAGACCTGCAGAACAGCAGCCTGCAACACCAAGAGCATGCACTTTGGCAGTTCCCTAAACCTTGCTAGAAGCAGTAGAGAGGACTATCTTTAGAGTCAGGAGATCCAGGTTAAAATTCAGGCACTGTACGTATCGGTTATTATATAACCTCCCTGAGTCTCAGATTCCTCTTCTGTAAAATGAGGCCTTTAATATTACCTACCCCATTAGACTATTGAGAGAATAAATGAGTGGAGCAGCATTGAGGTATGGTAGGTGCTCAACATACCACCATTCTTCGTGGCAGAATAGCCTTGTTTGGAGACTGGACATTTGCCATTGAGGATGAGCAACCCAAAAGGCACATACCTTTAGCAGGAAGACTTCAAGAATGCATTGATTACATTCATTTGATGTTGGGGGTGGGCAGGCACCACAGGCCCTTCCCCATCATTCACTCTGTAATGAGCCGTAGAAACCCTGGGATCTGGGTCTCCTGCAGCCCTGGAAATGCATTCTCAGATAAACTCAGCTAATTGAACTTCTCCTGTCACCTGTGTAGCCATGTGAAGTCACATAGTTTGAGGGGTTTTTTTGTTTTTGTTTTGTTTTGTTTTGTTTTGGGGTGTGGTGTGTGTGTGTGTGTGTGTGCGTGTGTGTGTGTGTGTGTGTTTAAGTATTTATTATTTTGAACCACGTTAGTGAGAAGAGAATGGAGTAGAGTAAATAATGGTCTTGGTTTGTACCTCAATTAGCTTGTGTAGGCTTTTTAAGCTTTTGATTTTTTACCCTCTATGGTTATGTAACATCACAATGATCCAGTTATTGGTAAAAGAATTCTGTTTTAGGGTGAGGCCTTTACCTGTGGTTGGAGGAAATCAGCTGTGTCCCTGCAAATGGGTGCTGCTGTTAAGATCATATGCCCGTAGGTAACAATGCTCTAGTTTTATGAATCAAGGAGATGTACATGGCTTCAGGAGGTGTCTGAGCTAATGTCCAAAGAGCCAAAAGTCTCTTCAACAGCATCTCTTACCAGAGAATATAAGTTTTCTCAGAGATGAGAAACTTGCTGCATTTGCAAAGGCAGCTTGCAGAGCCACAAAAGCAGCAAGACAAAAGGAAGTAGTTCTGGCTTTCTCTAGTCCAGTGGGGAAGTATTGCTTATAAGAATCTATGATATATTTCAAAATAACTGGAAAAAGAACACAAAAGTTCCCAGCCTGTAGAGTGATTTATTTTTGAGCAGATGGGAATGTTTATTATACTGATTGATCATTATACATTGTATACATGTGTTAAGTCATTGTACTGAATCCCCAGATATTTTTATCTTAATGAAAAATAAAATAATAACAATAGGAGACAAAAGAAATTATTTAGGAGAGTAAAAAATTGTCCTATATCTTAATTATAGGCTTTTGTGAAAACTCACATAACTATACACCAGAAAGAGTGAACTTTATTGTAGGTATATTACATCTTAATTTTTAATACAGAAAGAATTAGCTCTTAGATAAATGACAGTTACCTCAACTTATTAAAAAGAAAGAGGAATAGAAAAAAGAGGAGAGTGTGAAGAAAGAGAAACCATCTACTTAGGTTGGACTACGCCCAGTGGGACATGGATTAGTCTAATTCCTTCCTGTCATCACAGTGCCTGGCACATGGACCATTTATGATGAACACTTAAGTATTTATTGAATCACCTACTGCTCCTAGTTTCTAGGTAGCTGCTTACTTTCCCACACACTAGCCTACCAGCTGTTCAGATATTCTTTCTCCATCACCTTCTGTGGCTGAACTTCCCTCCTCCCCTTCTTGGACTCTTTTCCCTTCAGTGTTATTTCCATGTCCTTCCCCATCCCATGAAGCTCTTAGAGGTGACTCTTGCTTTCCAATGCCTTCCTCTGCACATGCCCAGCACAGAAGTACTGTCATGTCATGATTGCTTTGCCTCTGTAGACGATGTTAGTAGACACCCAGTCCTAACCTCCTGGTCCATCATTCTCAGTACTGAGCATTTAGCAATGGGTGAGGAAGGCTTTCTGCTTAGTAGTCTTCCAAGAATGGTGCTCTTGAAAGGAGGGAAGCAGTTCAGGAGCCAGGTGCTCTGCCTAGTAAATCTACCTTCTGTGTCCTCTCGGCACTGTTAGCTGGAGACATCAGTAATGCTGGGCATGAGTCTTTTGAGGTGGAAATGTGTCACAGATTCTGGTTCTTTAATATAAAATCAGGAAGTTTGGAATTCTTAAAGCTATAACTTGTGAGTACCTTGAAAAGTCAAGATATTTTTCCCCTTGGTCCATATCGGGGTGCAACATAAAAGCAAAGAGAGCAGTGGGTATCAGCTGGGGTCACTTTGTCTTCCTAGGCATCTATTGATGGCTGAGGCTATTTTTGGTTGTCAGAAGTAGAGGAGGCAGAGCATGCATTAGTGGCACCTAGTGGGTAAAAGCTGGGGGTACTGCTAAATGGCCTTCAACATGTACAGTATATCAGTACATGTACACACACACACACACACACACAAAGCTGGGGGTACTGCTAAATGCCCTGCAACATGTACAGTACATGTACATACACACACACAGACACACGCACACACACACACACACACACACACACACAAACACACAAAGCTGGGGGTACTGATAAATGCCCTGCAACGTGTACAGTACATCAGTACATGTACACACACACACACACACACACACACACACACACACACACTGACCCAAATATCAATAGTACTGACACTGAGACACTGATGTTAGAAATAGTAAAAAATGTAAATGTCTGAAGTACCCATTGTTTAGAGGATTTAAAATTTTAAGTATTTTGCCATCTAATTCTATGTAAGAAATAGGTAAAAATAAGTTTGCTCAGAATTTGAAGGTCTGAGATGGCTCTTAAGAAGCTACCGCTTTCATTATCCTAACTCCAAACAAAAGCCTAAATGAATTCAGACAGATGGGTCATACTGGATGTCGGTCCACCGAAGATGAAAGCAAGCTCTCACAACATGATTCCAGCACCCACACCAAAGGGCTTGTTTCACACTTTAGATCTTGGCCCCAGCCTCCTCAGATGTGTTGTCTTCAGATGACCCTGGAGATGAAATGGTTCTGCAGCCTGGGCTGGTCCTTCCTTTTGAATCAAGGATGGTGATTCTGGTGTGATGAAAATGTGCTTAAGAAGGAGAGAGATCTCATTACAGATGATTGAGATGGAGTATTTTGGTACACAGGACTGTTTATTTGCATCTATTTGCTAGTGACACCACAATCTGGCTTAGATGTGAGTCCCTGAGAGCTTTTGTAGCCCAATCTGGCTACATTTGCTGAAGCTGGGAGATTATAGCAACATATGTCAAGTTGTGATATAGAACAATCCACTTGAAAAGACTTTACTTAATTATAGGCCCTATTTTGGGAAGGTAACTGTGCATTTTGTGTTGTATATTTTAAGTTTCACTAACCAAGCTTCCAGGCCAGTAATGTCTTCCCAGAAAGGGTGTGGCATGTGCTGAGGACATAAATATTTTCTTCCCCAAAGCTTTGGTATGATACTTTTGGCTTTACTATCCTTTTCCCCCTTTGCTTGTATTCTTTCCTCTTTGCAAGAATGCAGTGAAAATGCGTTCTTATAAGCCAGACGAGAAGGCTTCTCATTTTAAATGGACAGGCCCAGAGATTTAGACACTTTACATTGTCAGTTACTGTTTTTAAGATGAATGGACTCTGGAGGAATTCCATAGTTGAAAAGGTAAACAGTTGAATGAAACTATTTAAAAACACCATGTCAGCAGTAAATATCACTGTGTAAGTGTCTGTGGGAAGACTGTCCATTTACACCTACATGCCCATACCCCTCCACGTGTAACCTTATAGAACACTTCATGCCCTTTCCAGATGGCTGTAGACATCTGATTTCCCCTTTCTTCTAGAGGTGTGTTTTATGTGCTCTGCCTCCTGCTCACGGAGTTCTGTAGCCTCCTTCACTTCCCTGCTAATACACGAGGCTTTGGGCTTTAAATGAAGTACCAGAGCTTTCTGCTCAGTCAGCATTTCCTAGGCCTAATTAAAAGTGATTGATAAAAGGAGAAATCAAGTTGGCACAATGAAACGAGCTTCTCATTTGTATTGTGTGAAGGAGCAGAGATGTAAAAATGGGCAATTTTGCAGTCCCCAACCCCAGCGAGTCCTAAGGGCAGAAGCACTTTATGTGCATTCAGAATAATGAAGGCCAGAGGAGAGGAAGAGTGCCCCATGAAGAGAGTTGGAGGCACTCTCTTCCAGAGAAGCCAGAGAGACCCAGGGAGGTATCAGTGGCTCCAAGGAGATTGTTCTATAGTGCAGCTCCCCGGGCCCTGGCTGACAGGAGCAGAGCCTGTGCTGGGGTTTGTCTTCCTGCTGACAGGCTCTCCAGGAGGTGCTAAGGCACTGAACTTGAGAATCCCTTCTCCATCTCCCTTCTCAGCTTCTGCTCGGCACTTACAGTTCCAAGAGAGTGTGTGAAACAGACTGCCTGGCTCAACCTCTAAGATTCCCTTTTGAGAGGATTGTCCGAGAGTTT